CTATTATTATAAAACATATATATTATGAATAAATAAGTGTTGATCAAGTTATAAAATTAAATTTGAAATCTAAAGCATTTTTACATATTATTTATTATATTTAAAAAAATAATCTAAATTTTTAATTCATATATTCAAAAAGCAACAATAAAAAATTATTATATATTATCTTAAGTAATTTTAGAATAATAGCAATTGTATTGATTAGTAAGTTGCAAGTATATGATATTATTTATATGTAATAATAAATTAATGAATTTCATTACACTGAGATTTAAAGATTAAATTCTTGAAAAATAATATTAGGAACTCAAAACAAAAACTATTAGAAAACCAATCTATTTTGGAATCTATTCATTTTGCTTTTGTTTGAATGCTTTTAAAATTTTGAAGGATTTAATCTTGTAAGAAGAATGGCAATAACTTTATATAAATTATATATTTTTAGCATTCATGATGCTCTCCATAATATTGATAGTCTAAAATTAGAATTTTGTGAAACAAGCTCTAGTAATATCAAATTTAGTATCTGGATTACTTCAAATGAATTTTAATGAATAATAGACAACAAAATAAGAATATTATTCTTTCGGAAGTAGTTTCGCTTAACTACAAGCAGCATCTTATTTCGTTTCAGATTTTTTAGATGGAATAATATAAGTTGGTGGACATTTGATAATGAAAATCTTGATTACATCGTTTTCAACTCATAAAATTGAAGCTCTCTGTACTAGCTTTGCTATTACTGGATCTGTATTTATTCTAGTTACAATTTATATTTGTGATTGTAGTTCTAGGAAATTATTCTTATCTACAGTATGTGAAAATATATGGGATTAACAATTACCACACCTCATAAAAAAACCATTTATAAAACTAAGTTTCTAAGATACAATGATTAATATTTTATAAAGTCATCTCATCAAGTTATTTCCCAGTTCAATTAATGAACAATGTGATGGATGTAATGGAAGACAATTTTTAAGAGAATGTTAGATTGATAAAGTTTCATTGTCAGATTGCATTTTAAAATAAAGTGATATCTTAAATAAAACAATTAAAGCAAATTATAAATGTCATAGATTTGATCTTAGAGTATGTAGATATGGAGTAGAAAATATGAATTTACTTGTAATTCTAGAGAAAATTATAACGACTACTTAAACTAAGATATTTCCACCTTAAATTAGAGAAGATCTAAGTAGATAAATGCGTATTAATAATCAAGAGTATATACGTTTCTATAATTGGGGATTACTTTCTCTTATACTTCTAAATAATCACGAAATTAAAGAAATTAAATTATTCCAAATGATTAAAAGACTCAACAAATATTATCATAATTATTTGTTACCAATTTAACTCTTTACAAAATCAAAAGAACTTCATTTTAATACATATGCCAATTTATTGAGGATATATCTTATTTAAATATACCACATATTAATTGAGCTCTATTCAAAATCATATAGAACAAGAATTTAAGTTAAAGAATATGATGATTACATAGAATTGCATATTTTGATAAATTCAAGTATGTTTCATACACTTTATCAAAATAATATTTTTATTTAAAATATTTAGAGATTTATCTTATATGAACCTATTTCTAAGGATTTAAGAATATATCTTAGTAAGCAGTTATCTTTTAAATGATTTATATTGATTTGTTTAATGAATTTTATTGAAACAATAAAAATATTAAATTATTTAATAATTTTATTTATAAAATATAATAAACTTAAGTGATATATAATCATATTTATGTATTAAATGGAAATGGAGTAGGAGAATATTAAATTTCATTTATTGGAGTTTTTGGATCAATCCTTTTTAATAAAAATCTTATTATTAAAACTAATAATTCTGGTTGAAATCCATCAATTAAATTAACAAAATTCTCTATCTTCTTTTCATTTAGAATAGTATGATGAATTCTTTCATTATTTAATAACTATCAATAAATATCTATCTTTTACATTAGTTAATTTAATCATTTTATTTACAATAGCTTTTTAAATAGTTTAATGAATCTCAAATTATTTCATTATTTTTTTCTAAAAAAGTATCATCTAATTAAGTTACTATTTTAAATCTTGATTTTCCTTTATTATTTAATTAACATTATAGATTTCTCCATATTTTTCTTCTGTTGAAGACTTACCCTTTTATATTTTAGATAGATTTTATCTAAAGAAAATAAATATTTTTTTGTATACTATTATCCTTTAACAAAATATTTGTGATGAAATTCTTTTTAAAAGTTGGAATTTCTTTTTATTTTAAAACCATATATCCTTAATTATCTATAAAATGATTATATATTTGAAGTTTTAAAATATTATTTCATAACAATATCTTAAAATTTTTAGTTATCTGATATGTAAAACATTTTACAACAATCAGTCCAATTAATAATAGGAATGAAATCTTCACACTATCTTTAAATAATATTAAATTACTTCCAAAATGTTATAGAGATCCAATATAAATTTTGATGTTTTCTACATTTATTTTATAATTTATTATATTTTATAATAATATTAATATTATTGATATCAATTTTTTTAGTTGATATTTAAATTCGGCTTCTAAAGACTCTAAAATATTTATTACTATCCTTTTTGCTGCTACACCTATAGAAATTTAATTTGTTCATACTATTTTTCTCAAAATATTATTAAATTAATACCAAATGGTCGTGCAATTTAATTAAGATTCTTAATTCCATTAATGATTTCCCATCTTTAAAAGTTTGGTATTTAATAAAATTTAGAATTCAAATATTGAGGATTTGCTGATCTAATGAATTAGAGTAATTACATTAATTCTATCCATGTAATTCTACTGGAAGGATTATGAACTATCATTGAATTTAATATAAATGCTATTAATGGAGGTAATTTGTAGTTTTTTTATGATAGTAATTATAATTAAAGACTTTGATTTACTAAATCCTCAAAAAGAACTTAATAGTATTCTGTTTTATAATTTAATAAATTATGGAAATATTCCAATTAATTTTTGTACTTCATTGTATAATTAATTCCCATCTATGCAATACAAATTCCAAACTAGATAAGTGATTCTTTTACATACTTGATACATATCATTTTATGCTTCATTAGCATCAACAGATGGAACTTAAAAATTTAGATTAGTTACACTCTTATCCTTATCAATCATTTCGAAACCATAATCAGCTAAATAAAATAGTTCTTTTCCTTATTATTTTTGAGAAACTAGAATATTTTGAGATTTAAATCTTCCATATTTAATTCCTAATTCTATTAACTTTAAATAGGCACTTGTAACTTAGTTTAATAAAAGTAAATATTCATATATTTCGAAATCATAATCCCTATATTCTGAAAATGTTTTTAGATTGTAATCATATTTTTTCATCAAAATTATAGCATAACCATTAACTTCTTAGTAATCTAAAATCTTCACACAATTGTTATGATTAATATTTTTAAGGTTCTAAAAATTAAATGCAAACCTAAGTTCTTCCTTTCTAGTTAACAATTATTTAGGAACTTAAGGGTTTTTTAATATTACTTTGACTACTTTATCTTAGACTAAGCCATTTTTTTATTCATTCAAAACCTTATAAGTACCACCAAGTCGACCTCGTCCTATTTAGAACTTATTATCTAATTAAATATTAAGTATTTGATTCATTTCTAAGAGTATTTATAGAACTCAAAGTAATTTTATGTACTTTATTAATTTATAAATTATTTAGATATTTCTGTATTACTTTCAATTAATATAAACTTTAAATGTATTCATTCTTATCTTATATATAATTTTAATCTATAGACAATAGATTACAATACTTTTTCTTAAATAGAGAATAGTATAATAATAAAGAAACTAGAGAAATTGAATTATAAATAATTATAATATATATAATAAATGACAAGAATAGAATATAATAACTCACCTAAATGGTGGAGTTATGCAAAATTATATATGTTTATCATGTAATGTACTTAAATTATAAATCTCATTTTTTGGCTGGAGCTTTCTTTTAGGCTTATGGTTTATCAGCGGCAGCAGCAGCAGCGGCAGCTTTTTAAGCAGCAACAACTTGAGCATTTACAGTGAAGATGTATTATTTAGAATTTTAATCACCAGCTGGTACCAACAAACCTGATTTTGCAAAATGTCTAATGCATCTTCTTGCCAATGAACTTTAATAAGGGATAAGAGAGTAATAAATACCCATTTACTTTGAATTTATCTGATACTGTTGAGACTGTGATCAATGAACCCATTTTTGGTAATTAAGTCTCAATTTATTTGTAGGCTGTATTATCTAAATACACGGCATTGTTTAATTTATCCTTTGCTCTTCCTTTAGTCCATTTCTAAGTAAGTAATCATGGAACAATTTTACCTTCTTTGTTTATTTACTTCTTTAAGAAGCAGCTTTAGCAATCTAATCCTTGGTTTTCTTTTAACCTTATGTTGGTTGTTTTCCCTAAACAATAATAAATGATGTATTACCATGATTTTAAATCTTTAATAAAATTTTTTGAAAAAATTTTAATATAAATTAATGTAAAGCTTAATTATGTTCATAAAGATAAAATGAATCAGCAAATCTCATTTTTAGAATAATAAATTGTGATTTTTTTGTATCATAAACAGAATATCTATATTGATATAATTAAAAAGTATGATATCAAATATATGTTATATGATTGATTGCATGTAGAATTATTAAATGATAATCTAGATATTCGTTAGTAAAAATGATATTTAATATTAATTATATAAAATATTAAAGTGAGTAAGATATAAAAATTAATTATCATAATTTATAAAATCAAATGGACTAATCAATATGACAATTGTGTAGAAGTTTAATATTATATTAAATTATTTTTTGTTTCATATACAAATATTACGATAACATATATTACTTTTAGTTTTGTTATATATATATATATGTATAATTTATCTCATCTTATTATATTCTTTTTATAATAATGAACGATAACTTTATAGATGAAGAAAATGAAGGCAATATTTAAGATGACAGAAAAAAACATTACAACTAATTATTAAGTACTTGCTAGAAAGTTTCAATTGGATGTTTGTCTATAAGTGGATTGGCTATCTTTATTTTATCATTTTTTATTCCGTCCATTGTTGAAAATGTGATTAATGGTAAAGTACCAGATTAAGTGATTCTGACAGAGTCAAATAGTGGATTATGGGCAAAGCTACCAGGTGATTCTTAAGTTGATTTAATGAGAGTATTAACAGTCTATGAACCAACAAATTTACTTGACGTCATTTTTCGTGGGTAAAAACCTTAATTTATAGAACATGAAAAAGTTTACTCACTAATTCAAGTGCAAGAATTTACTAATAGGACATATTCAGAAGATGGTAATGAAGTAACTTGTAATAGATATGTAACGTTTTAAGAAAAAAATGCAGAAGAAGGTACAAAAGAATACTAAGTATTAAATCCAGGATTATTTGGAAGTTGGTATTTAGGTACTCATTTACCATAACCAAAATTAACTTGGATGACTATAGGATAAGTTATGTATAATCTGTAGGAATAATTAGTGTTAAATATTTATTATTAAGGGTTTCATTATCAATTTGTAAAAGATGAAGCATCATGTCATGCATTATTGAAAATGATAACTGATGAATAAAAAAGAAAGGATATGTTTTATGATAATTTCATGGGATTAGGTAATCCTGACACTATGGAAAATTGGGTTCGTTTAGGTTTGGAAGGACATGACTTTGGACCTGCAGGTTAATTACTAAAGGATTACTTCGATCTAAATTAAGAACTTGTAAATGATATTCGTAAAGCAATAAGTTAACAAATTAAAGCCATTAATGTATCTGCAATGGCTAATAGTTATAATTGTAATCCATATGGATAAGAACCAGATTAAAAGAAATATAAATATGATTGCACTGGTAAATATTTTACTGCTTTATAATGGTAATCAAGTGGAATATCAGCTAATCCTCCTCCAGGTTTAGGAATTTTACCTACAGATTCTGTTAACTTTACAAATAATACATTACATGATTATATAGAAATTGCATATTATTATAAAGGAGGAGAATTTGACACAGATTATGGAGAAATTACATTTGATTTAGATTGGGCATATTAATTCTTAAATAGAAATTATGATTATCCTAATGGTGATTATCTTAAAGATCAAAATATATTATAACATAAAGGAAATGTTGAATTTATTTATGAAATAGGTGCTAAATTTGATAAAAGTAAGAATTTAGAAGACTTAAAACCATTATAAGAGAGATTTTAAATGAAATCATTAGAATAAGCACATGTAGTATATAGATGGGTATAATAAATGGGTGTCAATTTTTCTTATAGAAGAAATTTAGGTGGTAAACTTGAACATGGAGGTATTGGTTTATTTGCTAGTGAATCAATATATTATCACTTTAGAAATGTTAGTGAATATTTATTACCTTATTTAATAAGTTCAGAAATGATATATAAATAGAAATGGAAAGATTGTAAAACTATGTTTAAATAAAGTATTGGAAATATAGATGATAAATAGGCTGAATCAATTTGTAAAAGTATGGGATATTAATTAAATATTAATCATTTTATGACTATATAATAATTATGTACATTTGGAGTTTATGGATCTTAATTGTAAGAATTTGGAAAGAATCATTCATTAAGTTAAAATTAAATTTTTGAGATTTGTTCAGATAAAGGTTCTACTGATCAATCTTTTTAAAATGTTATTCAAATTGTACATAAAGAANCTCATTTACCATAACCAAAATTAACTTGGATGACTATAGGATAAGTTATGTATAATCTGTAGGAATAATTAGTGTTAAATATTTATTATTAAGGGTTTCATTATCAATTTGTAAAAGATGAAGCATCATGTCATGCATTATTGAAAATGATAACTGATGAATAAAAAAGAAAGGATATGTTTTATGATAATTTCATGGGATTAGGTAATCCTGACACTATGGAAAATTGGGTTCGTTTAGGTTTGGAAGGACATGACTTTGGACCTGCAGGTTAATTACTAAAGGATTACTTCGATCTAAATTAAGAACTTGTAAATGATATTCGTAAAGCAATAAGTTAACAAATTAAAGCCATTAATGTATCTGCAATGGCTAATAGTTATAATTGTAATCCATATGGATAAGAACCAGATTAAAAGAAATATAAATATGATTGCACTGGTAAATATTTTACTGCTTTATAATGGTAATCAAGTGGAATATCAGCTAATCCTCCTCCAGGTTTAGGAATTTTACCTACAGATTCTGTTAACTTTACAAATAATACATTACATGATTATATAGAAATTGCATATTATTATAAAGGAGGAGAATTTGACACAGATTATGGAGAAATTACATTTGATTTAGATTGGGCATATTAATTCTTAAATAGAAATTATGATTATCCTAATGGTGATTATCTTAAAGATCAAAATATATTATAACATAAAGGAAATGTTGAATTTATTTATGAAATAGGTGCTAAATTTGATAAAAGTAAGAATTTAGAAGACTTAAAACCATTATAAGAGAGATTTTAAATGAAATCATTAGAATAAGCACATGTAGTATATAGATGGGTATAATAAATGGGTGTCAATTTTTCTTATAGAAGAAATTTAGGTGGTAAACTTGAACATGGAGGTATTGGTTTATTTGCTAGTGAATCAATATATTATCACTTTAGAAATGTTAGTGAATATTTATTACCTTATTTAATAAGTTCAGAAATGATATATAAATAGAAATGGAAAGATTGTAAAACTATGTTTAAATAAAGTATTGGAAATATAGATGATAAATAGGCTGAATCAATTTGTAAAAGTATGGGATATTAATTAAATATTAATCATTTTATGACTATATAATAATTATGTACATTTGGAGTTTATGGATCTTAATTGTAAGAATTTGGAAAGAATCATTCATTAAGTTAAAATTAAATTTTTGAGATTTGTTCAGATAAAGGTTCTACTGATCAATCTTTTTAAAATGTTATTCAAATTGTACATAAAGAATTAAAGGATAAATATAAATGTTAATATACTCATTGTTCTAAATAAGAATTAGCAATTAAATAATTTGCTAGATGTGAAATTACATTAAATCCACCTCCATCTTTAATTAAATAAAAGAGTATTCATTATTGGAACAAAAAGTAATTCCCTCGTCCTTTTGAATATGGTTATTTTATAACAGAATTTAAAGATATATTTACTAAAGAACCACCATAAATGACAGATTTCTAAGCTTAAAAATTATTACATTTTAAAGGTATATTTAATCCTTTAGCAGTCACTTCAGCGTTTATTTATGAAAAAAATCATCCAGAATTTTATTTGAAATTTATAGATATCTATTAAGTAAGAGAATATGAACATTTAACATAATATTTACGTTTTGCTGCTATTCAAGGAGTAATGGGTGGAATGTCAACTACTAAAACTCCTAAAGAGTTATTTTTTGGTTATTCTGAATCTTTAGGAGAGGAATTAAAAAATAGTGATCCAGCTGGAAATGGTGACCCAGCTACAAATTCATGGGTTATGTTGGGAGATCCAAATATGACAATAGCAGATAGTTATAATTATCCATAAGTATTATACACAGGCAAAGATAATTTAACAATGACAAGATATATTAAGTCTATGAATAAATATGATTATGCAATTGTAATAATATTTAATGATAAATATAGTACAATTATTCATATTTTGATGGGAATAAGACAGTTACTAAATGGGATAATCCATGGAATGAAAAAGAATATATTACTTCATCAACTGATGGTATTACTTTTAAACCGTATTTAAAATAAGAAGATGTAATTAGACTCTATGTTCCTTAGATATATCGAGTGTGTAATAATAAATTATAATGATATATTATAGTGGAAATGAAGTCTATTTCTGATGGTCCAAAAATATATGGGTTAGATACTATTCATTTTGAATTAGATTTGGATAATCTCAATATTAATCCAAAATATAATAATTAATGGAATGGAACAATTAATATGGAAAAACCATTCAATGCTCCAGCTGTTGTATCATTGCCTCATTTCTATAAAAGTAATAGTAATCTTTCTGATCTCATAACAATTAAAAATAAGGATGGACATGTGATAAATGCTTCTGATTATGATAAAATTTATGCCAATATAGAAAAATACTCTGGTGCTCCATTACAAGCAGTCATATAATTGATGATTTCAATGAAAATTTAAAAAGATGAATTGTTTATAAATGTTAAAGAAGACATGGTGTTGCCTTTAATCACACTATTTAATTCAGGCAATTTCACTGAAAAAGGTGTTAAAGCAAATTTTGGAGAACTAAAAACTGGACTTTCTACAATTAATTGGGGATGGTATTTAATAATGAGTGTTGGAATAATTATGATTTTGGGTGCAATTCTTATTGTAGTGATAGCAAAATATAAAAAATAGAAAGTAGATTCAGTCTATAGTGAACAATGAAATATTTAATAAATTTGAAATATTTATTAGTAAATTTAATATAATTATAAAATAAAGGAACTCAAATATAAATAATATCTTATTATAAACAAATAATTTTGTTAAAGGAATTCTTTAAAATTAATAATATACTATCTTATTCTTAAATGATCATTACTTATAAATTTAAATAATAGAATTAATAAATATAATTCTTAAATGAAGCACAAAAATATTGATAATAAATAAATTGTATCATCTTTGTCTAGTATATTTGAATACTTAATATTATGTTAGTGTTTATAATTTAGCTTATGATAATGTTTTTCTTTTATTACTAGGACTTCTTGACAAATTTGAATATTTTTCAAATATCTACTCTCTACTAGGTAGAAAAGGACTCTTTAAAACAATTTTATCTGATTGACTTTGTGAATGTGATTCAGAATGTTGATGATAATTTGATTTTCTTTTAATCAATTATTTATCAAAAAAACTATTTTAAATTTCTTTACTTGGTGTGATTTGTGTCTTAATCTTTCCATGGGACAATTCAGAACGATGAGTTAATTCTTTCCATTCTAAATTTCTTAATTAGTTTACTGATTCTTATTCTTTAATTGAAGGATTTATAGTTTACAATAATTCCTACAATTATATTTATGGATTAATTTAATATGATGGTTATTATAATCTAGTAGTCTATTCTTTTGTTTATGGATTATAAAAGAAATTATCTAAAATATCATCTTCATGATCTGTTTCACTTTTGTAACTAATATTATCTGTATTTTATTATTGAATAGATTGCAAAGCCTTAATTATAAATGATGCTAATTCCTAATAATTCACTTAATTTTAACTGATGAATATTTTGACATATTTCTAATATTTTGAACTAATATCATGAATTTCTAAATTCCTTTTTCTTTGTGGTAATCCACAATTAAATTTGAATGAACTAACAACATGAGGTTTTTCATGCATTCTCAACTCACTTCCAATAAATAGCATAATTACATTGCAATTTATACATTCTCTATTCCCAATAAACTTTTAATCTCTGGACACAGATTTGGATTGGTAAATTGATAATTAGAACTTAAATCTTTTCCACTCAAATTACATCTAGAATTACCTAATACTACACCATCTGGATTAAGCATTGGTACAACAATTACATTTAATTATGTTTACTTTAATTATTTTATTAATTCTTCTGCTAAATATGATGTATTTGCATCTATTGGTCTAATACGAGCAACTATTAAAATTAATGGTCCATTTTATTTATGAACCCAATAATATATTGGATATAATAACTTAGACAATCCTAATTGTCCATATTGACTATTTTCTGTTAATTAATGAAATGAATATGGTTTCTAAAAACTAATGATATAACTTTCATAAGAAGACTTTATTTCAAAAGAACATTATGCAAAATAACCATCTTTACGTTTGATATTTGTCAATGAATAATGAGAAGGCACAAAAAATTCATGATTATCAGAAAGTCTCTATACATGTACATCTCTATTCTTCTCTAATGCTCTTAAATTTATTATATTGACTTTTATGCATAATTCTTTAAATGCATAAATCTTTAATCCCAAAGAAAACCATTTACAAAATCCATGAGAATTTGTATCTGATTTTAATACTATCTTAACAGTGTCATGTTTGCAATAATAGATTTCTTATACGTTACATCCTTCAAACCCTCCAAATATTTCATAATCTCTAGGATGATTTGCATCATATCTATATTTTAAATTTTTAAGACTTTCTTATAATTCTGATACATTTTTTATAGGTATATAGTTTTATTTACAAATGCTTTCTTTCACATCTATATTAAAATCTTCATAATATATGATATTTGTTGAATTATTGACTGATTATGTGCCTTACAATTAATCACTATTTACAATACTAGTTCTATAACTAATATTTCCTTTAGATGATTTAAAATGTTGTTAAGGATTACTTGTAAATGTTCTTTTTGTTAGTCTCCCTTAAATCATGGTTTATTGTTCTTCTCCTAATTTCATCCAAATAAATTTTGGTTTTGGATCATCTGGTAATCCAAATAAAATTGGAAGAGGTTTTGGAATTCGATTATAAAACATTAAGAAAATAAAATTACTTATTCTAACAATTATATATATATCTATATTATAATTATATAATAATCAAAACAATATATTATACTATACAACATACAAAAACTAATGTTATTTCTTTATCCGTCGAACTATACATATTTATTTCACTATTTTAAAAGGTTGATTCATTTTTCCTTAATATATTAACAACCATTAGTTTTAAACAATATTCATATATCATTTAACTTAACAATAAGCAATCCAAATAATTATGACCATATATTAAATAGAAATTTGTTAACAATCAAATTATCTAATAATCACAATCTTTTAAAGTATTCTTTTATCTAATATTCATATAATAAATAAACATAAATCTAGATGTATTATGAAACTATTTCGAATATAATGATATTAGACTTAAAATAATATACAAGAGAATGAGATTAAAAAGGTCATCAAAAAAAAATAACTCATTTTAAATCAAATCCTATTTGAAAATATTCAATACATCTAATTATGATTATATAAAGAATATTATAGAATAAGATCAATTCAAAAAAAAGTTATAAAGGAAGAGTACTTTATAAAGTANAAGGCACAAAAAATTCATGATTATCAGAAAGTCTCTATACATGTACATCTCTATTCTTCTCTAATGCTCTTAAATTTATTATATTGACTTTTATGCATAATTCTTTAAATGCATAAATCTTTAATCCCAAAGAAAACCATTTACAAAATCCATGAGAATTTGTATCTGATTTTAATACTATCTTAACAGTGTCATGTTTGCAATAATAGATTTCTTATACGTTACATCCTTCAAACCCTCCAAATATTTCATAATCTCTAGGATGATTTGCATCATATCTATATTTTAAATTTTTAAGACTTTCTTATAATTCTGATACATTTTTTATAGGTATATAGTTTTATTTACAAATGCTTTCTTTCACATCTATATTAAAATCTTCATAATATATGATATTTGTTGAATTATTGACTGATTATGTGCCTTACAATTAATCACTATTTACAATACTAGTTCTATAACTAATATTTCCTTTAGATGATTTAAAATGTTGTTAAGGATTACTTGTAAATGTTCTTTTTGTTAGTCTCCCTTAAATCATGGTTTATTGTTCTTCTCCTAATTTCATCCAAATAAATTTTGGTTTTGGATCATCTGGTAATCCAAATAAAATTGGAAGAGGTTTTGGAATTCGATTATAAAACATTAAGAAAATAAAATTACTTATTCTAACAATTATATATATATCTATATTATAATTATATAATAATCAAAACAATATATTATACTATACAACATACAAAAACTAATGTTATTTCTTTATCCGTCGAACTATACATATTTATTTCACTATTTTAAAAGGTTGATTCATTTTTCCTTAATATATTAACAACCATTAGTTTTAAACAATATTCATATATCATTTAACTTAACAATAAGCAATCCAAATAATTATGACCATATATTAAATAGAAATTTGTTAACAATCAAATTATCTAATAATCACAATCTTTTAAAGTATTCTTTTATCTAATATTCATATAATAAATAAACATAAATCTAGATGTATTATGAAACTATTTCGAATATAATGATATTAGACTTAAAATAATATACAAGAGAATGAGATTAAAAAGGTCATCAAAAAAAAATAACTCATTTTAAATCAAATCCTATTTGAAAATATTCAATACATCTAATTATGATTATATAAAGAATATTATAGAATAAGATCAATTCAAAAAAAAGTTATAAAGGAAGAGTACTTTATAAAGTAATATTTAATTTTATGTTTAGGAAATGGAAATAAATAATTTAAATTAAAACAAAAATGAAAAAGCAAATAGTTAATATTATAGGGAAATATTAAAAGAATATATTTCAATTAATTATTTTCAGTTTTATTTATGTACAAAATAACGTTTTCTTGGTTTTTTAAATTACTTTGTTTTTATATATAAATAAAAGAAACTTCTCATACAGTCTATTGAAAAAGATTTAGCGAACACCAATTCAAATGTTTTAAATAATTTATAGAAATATTATTAATTTATGGGAGTGTGTTAAACAAAAAAGTAAAACTCAAAATTAGAATCATCAAGCAGAGTTAATACAGAAAGTAAAACAAAAATGGATATGTCAGGCAATCAAGAAAATGAATTTAAAAAATCTCTATTTCATCATTAAGAGAAGCGACTCAATACAGAGACTATTTGTTCACCTAATATAGACTGTCCAATTCCAGTAACTTAAAGAGCTCATGCTTATACTATGCCTAAAATATTGAACGTTGCTTAAGGTCTTAGTCCACTATTAGAATTGATAAGTGCTTCTAAAAAGTATACCCTTATTGGATAACATAAATCAAATTATGTATAAATAAATCTTATATATTAAGCTACTTTAAATTTTACAAAACAACAAAACTGGAATGCTTGTTTAAATGGAAAATATTCCAAAAAATACAGATGGCAATGAAAAATATATTAATTGGCTTTAAAAGATATCAATAGTATTTAATAAATTTATATCATTAGGATCATCCAAATATATTAAGAATCATAGAGATCTACCAAGATAAAACAAATTATTAAGTTATATCTGAATACTTTAATGGTGCAAGTCTTTCAGATTTAATAATTGGAGAAACAAAAGTCTCCAAACCATAGGTAGCTTAAATCTACGAATAAATAATGTCTGCTATTTCATATCTTCATCAAAAGAATATTGTACATGGCAATTTAACTCTTAAATCATTTGAATATGTGTATTAAAATGATAGAATTGTTGTTAAATTAACTAATTTAAGATAAATTTATTATAAGGACTTAACTAATTTTGAAGTTATTAAATTACTACCTCCAGAATGTCTTTATCAT